ATCAGAGTAATTGCAGAACTAAATATTAAGCTGAAATGTTATCAAATGCAGTAAAATGATATATTGCAATAGTATTGAATGTATCAATGCATATTTAAATTATAACTGAATACTATTAAAAATACAGTAAAAACTGCAGCGTTCTATAAAAAGTTCAATACACCCAGATAAATGAATTATTACATTAAACACACGAAACATGACGTACTTAATTAGTCATTCGAATCATTCTGGACCATAACTATCTTATTATTTTAAACAGTGTATTCTTACTAATGGCACCGAATCTTAATTTCTATTAGATAGTGCCTATTTACTATATGTATCTATTATACACGTGTCTCTGTTCTATAAGTGTATCTTTAATTACATGGGTCTTTACTATATGTGTCTTTATTATACGTGTTTCTACTGTATGCGCATCTCAACTTTGTACACGCTATCCTTTCCACTTCTATCTCTTCGACATCGTTTCCCGTGCCCACCCACCCCCCCCCCTCCCTACTTTCGGATCGAGATAAAGCGTATAGATCGCGCATGCACCGAGAAAGAAGCTCGGCGTACCGGCAAAACGCTTCCGCCCAGACCACCGCGTATGATTTATTCCGGCGCGAAGCACCCACCAGAAATATCAGATACCCCTAATGAATTTCTGGCCTGGTGTGGGTGCGTGTGTGGACCAAGGGTGGAGTGGGGATGCCCGACTGGAAAGAAATATGGGGTGAAACGACGACACCGGAGTACAACGCGCGACCTGACCGAAATATCTTCCCGTCGAGTGCCTTTGGATATCCTGTTAACACGTTCGTTGGCGACGTGTCGGTCACCGGTGACCGGCACTTTCAACTTGCATTGTCCTTGGAAAATTGTACGACTAATGAAGTATAGTACACAAGTATAGAAGCAGCAAAAAAAGAAAATATTACGTGATTTACATAAAACGTGACGTAAAAGTACTCGAATTTCAAAGTTTTCCATGATTTTGGTGAAACGATAAAAAATTAATCAATAAATTAATGCAGCTAATAATTAACCCTTTGCACTCGAGAGGTGACCCCCAGTCACCATTACGTTTCACGCAGCAAATCTACAATACCTAATGTTTCTTTAGGTTTCATTTCTTTGGAGCTCCAAGTGTCGATAAAATGATTGTCGGCGAGGTAAAGGTGATCTTATTTTCAAATCTAGATAGCTTAGAATTCGTGGCAATAGAATGCTAAGAAACATCTCGAGTTGCTGTTAGATACAAGAAAAAAAGGCCTCGAGTGCAAAGGGTTAATATTGTCTGGGATACAATACAACTCATTCATGTCTGACCATTTCTCGCCGATTCTACTCACGGAGTTCGTTAATCCTTTGCACTCGAGAGGTGACTCCCAGTCACCATTAGGTTTCACGCAGCAAATCTCCAATACCTAATGTTTCTTTAGGTTTCATTTCTTTGAAACTCGAAGTGTCGATAAAATGTGTTAGGAAATATATCGACAGCGGCTTGGATCGTGGCAGCGACATCGGCTGATGTCGATTATTTTTAATTGTTCCTTATGCGCTCTATGCGTACGATCGCGACAATAGTCCAAGTTCATTTATATATGTACCTTTACGTAAATGAACATTTACTTTATATAGTGTAAACCGCGCGTGAACAGTTCATCTACACCTTAACCCACAAACCAAATCTGACAAAATGATTGTCGACGAGGTAAAGGTGATCTTATTTTCAAATCTAGATAGCTTAGAATTCGTGGCAATAGAATGCTAAGAAACATCTCGAGTTGCTGTTAGATACAAGAAAAAAAGGCCTCGAGTGCAAAGAGTTAAATATGAAAGAGCTTTTTAAAAGCTTAAAAATGATATATGTACAACATTTGCAGACAAAGTAAGAAACACACGAACGTTTGCTTCACCCTAATGATAATTAATATCGTGAAAAAATGATGTTAATAATAGACAATCTCGAGCGCAATGCGAAAGACGATGTTGCTATTTGATCAAATGTAAAATAGAACAAAAATGGAGCGAAAAAGGGATAAGTTGAGCGACTTAGAACGCGGCGTGGTGAGAATTCAGCCGGCTATGAGATGAATGGCACGTGGCCCGCATGAGATTGAGAACGAGGAATATTCAGCACGGAATTCGCGTGAAATTAGGCGTGAAATACGCCGTGCGCTTCGAATATTTCTGCCACCGACAGATTTCGACTTTCCTGTCAGACACGGGCTTAGACAATCCATCGATCTGCCTCCTGTATTCGCCCGTGAACTCGGAATTCGTCGCGGCTCTTTTCCTGCATTGCAACTCTCCTAACCCCAACCCTCGCAACCTTCATCAGACACGGGACTGCCAAAAGACTTTTCACTGAAGGGAGGATATCACCTTGGACTTTCACAATTGACCCTGTCGAAAATTTGTTTCCTGGGGTTTATTATATATGTATCGAATAATGGAAAAAAGAAATAATTTTTAGTTGGATTTTTCAAATAAAATGATGATACTGGATTGCATGGCAAGTCTTCCTTGAATGACTCTTTAATTGAACCCTCTATGCACAGTTAACCCTTTGCACTCGAGGCCTCTTATTGTGGTATCTACCAGCAACTCGAGGTGTTTCTTAGCATTCCATTGTCACGAATGCTAACATTATATTTACTTCGAAAATGAGATGTCCAATTTGAGATTTGAGAAGCAGGTCACCTTTCCCTCAACGACAATCATTTTATTGGCACTTCGAGTTCCAAAGAGATTAAACTTAAAGAAAACCTAGTGGTGACAGAGTCACCTCACGAGTGCAAAGGGTTAACATTCACGCTCTATTAACAGCATGTAGACACGTCACTTTGGATATTAAACTTAATAAATTATCAAACTTAAACTGTAATGCTTCTACTAAACGAATCGAAATTACTTTGACCAATTATTACTTGGTACGTATTAAAGTCTAATTTATACAAAACAGTAAAAATTGAAATACATACAACGTGTTTGTTAGAAATATTGAAAATCAAAAAAAAAAGAAAAATATACACGTCGAATTGAGTAATCTCCTCCTTTTTCGAAGTCGGTTAAAAAATATCCAACTTGGACAACCTTCGCCTAGCTTCCTCTTTGGCAGAATTTTATTATCCGGCTCTCTTATCCGCAATTCTATTAGGTTGTCCCGAAAAGTTTCTTTCGTTTTATTAATAAGTAATACATACACAATATTTTATGTCTAATGTTACATTATTGAATTGTGTACGTTTCATTTTGCTCCATTACTGTTACACCATGAACATCTAAGAAATTAGATTGTCTATTTATATAAACACTACCGCGCAAAATAATTGAGTGCAAATTACGAAAGAAACTTTTAGGACAACCTAGTATTTATTTGTATCATCAACCAATTCCTAAATAAAGTATCCACGTCCATAAACATGGAAATCTAGGCCAACGAACGAATTCGCGGTGAGAAAAGTAGAAAGGCGTGAGAATGTAAAACGCGAGGAGATCGTTCGTTGCTGGCTTTGGAAAGTCCGGTAGCACGTTTTGGTTATGGAGATTGGTTTCGCCGCTGGAATACAAAGTGGTGCCGTGTTGTGTGAAACGTAACAAGCGAAAGTACGGATATATTCTTGGACCACGTGTCCTTCGATGGTCCGTCACGAATTTATTGAGATTGACACTTGCCTTTGCCTTTGCCTTTCACGTCGAGGCGGTTTAAATTGAAGTTACATCGTTCGCTTGAATTTACATTCGACGATCGCTGACGGTACCTAAGCTGAAACTGGAGACTTGTCAAGAGATAGGAATGGTCCAGCATGGATCACGTCAAACACACTGAAAACACCCTGAAGATTTCAGACATTGTAAACTATTGTTAACTCATTGTTGACTCCCAGATAAATTTAGTACGTTTTGTCCTGAGAGCCAAGATTTAATACAGACGTGTAATGTGAGTTATTATTTTGATAAGAAAGAGTGGTATTAAATTTGTTATTTTCAAACAAATATATTATAATGTTATGACTATGATTGCATGATTATATGATTGTTTATATAATAATATACAATATATAATTATACATTATTCTTCAGGGCTTAGATGAAAAGCTAATATTCAGATGACATGACACACTAGTCTATTACCTTTTTCATAGATTTCGATTCTTATCAAAGAAACAACAACAAAGTCTGGCAAATCTCAGTCTGGCCATTTTACATACTATCAAAAACGTTCTAAAATAATTCAATAATAAAATCTAACAAGTTTTAACGCAACCATGATAGTCCAGTAGATCCTGCTTTGAAGCACTCTACTATTTATCACAATTAACACAAATTTCGTATATCGCCAAAGAAAACTCCAAAATTCCAAAAGCAACAACAAAGTCTGGCGAGTCTCGGCCGGACCACGATAGCAGACGACGCTGAATGACCACAGCAACTGAAAAAGATTTAAATAATCATATATATCGAACGGGGCAATAAATCGCAGCGTGTCCATCCGGACTCGCCCCAGCATCCCCACCCTAACTACTGGCATCTATAGCAATGGGGTGGACCAGTGATATATGTCTTCCCTATAACAGCCAGAATCAAAACACCGTCCTCCCCCTGGTACGGGGATGTTTGTCCTTCGGCCAGCGACTTCTGCGGCAGACAGTTGGTATCGATGAAATCGCTGTATTAATTAACAGTAAATTGCGGGTTACAGGAGGATACGAGTCTCGGAATTTTTATTTCCGCGGATGTTATCCATTTATTGCGTTATGTACGTTCGACACGGGACTGAAACACGATTGAATTTCGTCTCGAGGAATCTCTGACTTCATTGTTAGAAAGGGATAATATGGCATCATTTATCAATCTATCTATTTTCATATTAATATATATGTTAATGAAGGTGCATCAATAGATGACGCTGTTTAAATTTTTAAGGAAAGAATAAAGAAGATGAATATATATTGATTTGATCATTTTAATTCTTTAAATTTCAATCTGTATGAATTGAACAATGAGGAAAGAATGAGTTTTAAATTAAGAGTATGCATTTTATAGAATTGTATAACTTTGATTGTTCCTTTAGGGTATACTAGATCTGTCGACCACTGAAACAAACGATTTTATGACTTACATAAATTATTAAAACAAGTCAACAATACTCATTGGCGTATCAATTATTTCATTTACTTCAAAACGAGCTGAACTGTGATTAATGACTGATAAAGTATGTAACTTCAATTTTTTTTTCACGCTTTGCTGAATTATTAAGTCGCTACGTCGCCCATTTCTGAACGATAGAACCTTCCATCAAGCAACTAAACACATTAACTCCAAAGCTGAGACAATAACAATAAAAATAAATCTGTATAGGATTCCTAAATCTAATTCGAAGTTAACAAATTAAATACCACATACAAATATGAAATTATCCAATCGTCAATAGTCTCAAGACAAAATTTTAACTTTCTAGAAACTTTCACGAGTTTTGTCGCGACAGCCAACGGTGTTGAACGAGTCTACGCGAATTTGAATACATTACTTCTACCTACAACTATCTCTCGTATCTTCGAACATAAAACAGCCACGATCCAAAACACCACGTTCCCTCGAGAAACCGCGAGGTGCGACAAAACGGTTCCGGTAATTCCGAAATCGCGATGCAACACCTGGTGGCGCGGGAACGAGAAGCGCCGTGCATACTGCAGCGAACACTTGAGAAACGTGTTAAAACGTGTTAAAACGCGTTGCAGCCCTCGACACGCCTACGAGACCGCCGCTATTATGATCACGGAGTCGCTCAACGTGCTGTATCTGGTCAGGAACAAAGTCCTGGCGCAGAGGAGATTACGGAGCGTTGGTGGACGTTGGTCACTTGACCGGTATTACAGATGTAATATCGTAAACAATGTCCCTCTCAGCCGGAGCCACGTTTATATCTGCACAAGTCACGAGAAATCCACCCTCGCCTCCCTCCGCGCTGGTCAAAACCGGAGAACCACCTTGCTTTCCCTTCTCTATCTCCGCGTCCACCCTCACGCGAACCCTTTGCAAGCGTTACCGGTGTTTACTGTTGAATATTCATTCTTTGCCCTGATACAGCCGCGAACACGAAGTGTCCACACATTAACCAGTGCTCCAGGCTGACCGCCCGCTTCCACCGTAACCCTTTCGCTGCTTTTATTGGCAGGAGGGGCGGTGTAATCCTGGCCAGGAGCACCTCTGATCGGGGATTAAAGTGGCGTTAAAATCATCATGGACACTGGACATTGTAGAGATTTGTTAAAAGGTCCACTTTGGATAGGTTGAAAGACTACATAATACATAAACATACACATTCCTTAACACTTTATTTACCGGAAGCCTATTTATAGGCTTTTCAATTGCAGTATTTAGCTAATCGAATTTATGTATTGTGTCGATGGTTGCCTACTTACAATGTTCAGGGTTTGAAAACAGACTTGGTTTTCAATGTACCCAGTAACAGCACGAAGGAATTATTGTCAGCCTAGATCGGAATATGCTACCGTAGAAAATTCTTTTTTAAATTAAAGAGTATTTCTAAATAGTCCGGTAGATAAAGTGTTAAGCATTGCTTGCTTAAGATACTGCATGGTTTAAAAAGAAAAACCTATAGCTACTTCATGGCGATCCAGACATGTTTCTCTTTCTGTAAGTTAAATCTTAACGTTCATCTCTTCAACTCCTCGCAGTATCCTCGTTCCTGAAACTGAATAATGAAACCTGTTAGAAAGAAACTCGGTGTATTTCTCCATCATTGCTTGCCTAAGATACTCTATGTCTTAAAAATATGGACCTACACCCATTTCGGGGCGATCCAGACACGTTTCTCTTCCTGTAAGTTAAACGTTAACTTTCACCTCAGCTCCTCGCAGTGTCCTCGTTCCTGAAACTAAATAATGAAACCTGTCACAAACAAACTCGTTATATTTCTCCATCATTGCTTGCTTAAGATACTCTATGTCTTAAAAATATGGGCCTACACCTACTTCATGGCGACCCAGACATGTTTCTCCTTCTGTAAGTTAAATCTTAACGTTCATCTCTTCAACTCCTCGCAGTATCCTCGTTCCTGAAACTGAATAATGAAACCTGTCACAAACAAACTCGTTATATTTCTCCATCATTGCTTGCCTAAAATACTTCACGTCTCAAAAAGATGAACCTGAATCCCTTTCACATCGAACCACCCACATTTCCCAACTGTTAACTTCCACGTTAACTCTCACCTTTTCGCCTCTCCTCGCCAAGCGCCCCCCTTCCCAAAAAACAGTCGCCTGATCACGGGGGCTCGTTCATTCTCCTCAAGTTATATTCCGTTCCTGTATTTACGATTACGTGGGATCGTTTCGCCGTTCCCTGCGCCAACCAGCGAGCAGAGATTCTCTTCTTGGTACGGTTTGCACCAGGCGATTTGTCTGCGACGATGTTTACGATAAGCATAAACCCGCGAAGGAAAGTTTCGAGAAGCCACCACAACGAACTATCGTGGCCCGGGCGTATCCTGACGGTTAGTCCTTCGAAAGTCCTAGTCCTGGCCCCCTCGAATCCCGTCGAGGTCTTCCCAGAAACCGAGAATTCGAGACATGGCCTGGGCGGTCTCTTAATCGTAACTTGCGGCCTGATAGTAAGCAGGCGAACCTATACGGGAGGTCTATTTTTATTGTTCCCGCGATAGTACAGCGGTGCGTCCCCGTATTTACAGGCGAAGGGGGTGGAGGAAGGCTCGGGAAGGGTCCCTTGCATAAACGCTCCGACAGGACTCCAGCTTTTTCACGTAATTGTCCATTTCGATGGTAACGAAACCTCTACGATCAGGGAAAGTTCGTCAATCGGGCGATTGATCCCTTGAATTTAAGATATCTTGACAGGGGGCTTGAAAAAATGGGGATTAAGTGGACGAAGTTTCTATAAGAATATTCCGATTCGTCAAATAGTTAATTTAGTTTGTAACACTTTCAACGTATGCTAGAAAAATTTCTATTGTATTGTATGATGTCATATTTTATTACACGATGAATTAGCGTCCATTGATGTATTAGGACAGGTAAGTATCCCATATATCAAAAAAACTCTTTCAAAAAAAGTACACTATTTAGTGTCCATTCAAAACGTGACGATCGATATAAATGGAAACAATTCTAAAAAAAGAAAAATACTATTACAACTAGAAAAGAGTTAACTACCAATTCGACCAATTTGACTCATGTACTTCAACTTAAAGTCATTCAATCTTCTACCAGAATTTTTTAGGACGATTATTATAACAGAGAATTATTATATAATTATCGATAAATTAGTTTGCTCCTCCTCCCTCTAATTACGAAGATATAGTTGAATGAATAACAGATATATTTCAACCTAGGCAGTTTTAATGTTAAACTGCATAGCAAGTATAGTAAGTTTAAAAACCACTAAACTAGACACTCGTTACTAAACGAGGTTTCGACGAAACTAACTCTGTTCAGCTTCTTCTGCGTGCGACATCCACGCAGAACCCTTCGATTACGTACGTATACCTCGACGATAAAACCTCCTTTGCGTGGATTAGTCCGCTCAATCAGGAAATATACTCGGGCCCCCATAAAGTCCTTCCAGCGTGCAAACCCCTATGTGCGCCCTATATACCACCCTCTCTATGTCCTTCCCTTCTTTTACGCATCCTCGTGCGCTGAACACTCGTAGAGACAGATAAGACTTCCTATCTTAATTGTGACGTACAAAAATATTCAAAAGAGTTTGTACGCATCTTTCAGATTCATTAGCTTTATCAACGAGTTTCAGGTTTTTAGAGTTTTAGTGCCAATGCCACTAATTTTAATGCTATACAATAATACTTTTTGAAATGATTGCCACGATATCACGAGTTCTAGTTGACCGAATAACATCAAATTCGTAGTGAATCTTCAGCACGCGTGCCTTTATCACCTGAACCACGATTTCCAAAATCTGATTGTTCTAAATATCTCTTTTTTAATATACAAAGAACAAAATGAATACAAAAGGTCGATGTTCAAACTTAAAAGTGCTGCCATTTTTTTAACTCCTGATATTTCATAATTATTCTGGTTCGGATAATAGAGACGCTAATATTAATGAAGATGTTTCTTGATTTTTTCATTTCGGATAAGCAGAACGCCTGAAATCGTGGCAACCACGAATATACTATTTTAAGAAGGTACTGTACAAGATCGCTCGTACTACGTTTAATTTTGATTATTTTTACCTCCGAAAAACCCTTTATAAAAATTCCTGATAAACAAAAGAAAATCCTCGAAAACAGAACTAAAAATTGACGCACTAGACTAGAACAGCCCCTTAATTCCAAAATACTGAAGCCACTTTTAGAAAACACTTTTAGAAAACACTTTTAAAAAAATCCCTCATGAAATTACTTGATACGTGGCATTCTCCCCGTAAAAATTTCACCGATATAAGTGAAATCGAAGTGTCTCGCGGGCGCGGGTCCGGAAATAGCAATAAAGTTAACCACGTGGGAGGGTTTGAAGGGTGAATTGTTTAAAACTACCCTGTCGCGTGTGAGCCCTCGTTGTCGAGAATGAAAAGAGGTTATAGATATGAAGAGTTCCGGGGGATTTGTAGCCATCTATACGGCATCTGTATTATAGGACCGATGGTAAGAGGGAGCGACGTATTTCGCGGAACATTGAGCCCCATGGACTTTAAAACACACCCGAAACCGAATCCGTCTCCGTGTACGTTCGGAAAATTCCCCTACCCGATGCGTGCAGAACCGTCCGCCTTTTCCAATCGTATAATACAACCCCCTGCGCTGCAATTTCGCCACAATCACTTATCCTTCTCAAATGAATGGAAAATATCTCGATATACTCCGATGCAACTAAAGAGTCGTTCCTCCAGAAAGAAAAAGAGGATACAGAGTGTGGATTTTATTGAAGTCAGACAGGACTAAGGACTGTCAACTAGACTGTGGATGTTTATGCAAATTTATTCACAGTCTTCAATAGACTGCCAATGTTTATGCATATATGAGAAATTGTAATACGAGTAAATCTATAAGAATGTGCACAAATGCTAAACAATATAAAATATCAACAATAATATACATGTTATACCATTTAAAATATAAGATGTACATTAATATAAATTTGAATTCTTTCTTTGTAATCTGTGAAAATACGAATTTCCATGAGCATCCGCAGTCTAATTATCACTATTACACGATTCCATCCATTTTGCCAACTATCCTATCACTTTTTGGGAAAATGATTAAGACGTTTTTCGTTCTACCTATAACACTGTGAACAGTCCTTCGTGAATTTGTTAAGCAGGACCAAAAATCTTCATTTTTGAACATTCAAGGAGTACTAATAATATTTGCTACTAATTTTTATAATCATATATAAAAATCTACAAAATGTCCGTTTCGCTACCGAAAATGTGTCTCGTGATCGGTCGAATCGACCCAAAACCAAAAAATGCCATTTTTTGACATTTCTAAATACCTCTAACCATTTAACACGTTCACTGTCAGACTAATATTCTTGAAAATTTCTATTGTGATTAAATTTTATTAACAGACTATTGAAAACTACATAACGAAACATTTATTCTGTTATTTATTTTTGTAATTTCATTCAAAGTTATTTTCTTCGACGCTCGACTATCAGAATTCATTGTTTTTATTCAGTAAAAAGCAGCCACAGATGGGTGGACGTGGCGATCAACGTGTTAACGCTAATCGGCTAGGAAACGTGTTTCGTTAAAGTGCATCGCTATGCTCGCAAATTCACCATTGTGCACTGTAAACGAAACTTGATTACTCGAATTTCGACGATGAGACCCGTAAACTTTCGACCGAGAGTGGAAGCAGCAAGAGAGGTAACGGGGTTGCACTTTCAACTTACGGTGGCCGAAGTCAATTCGATAGCAGTTAACGAATTGTTGGGGGCGAATAGAAGGGGTTTGCGGTTAACGCGAGGGGTCTTCGAGGGAGGGGGGGGACGCATAATACATTGTTACCCCATCCACCGTTGTTCACCCCCTTCCACGCGCAGTAATTTTCTCTGTGCGCGGGAACCGACATCGGGGGTGAACTATCTCATAATTAAAATTACCGTGCCGCACGTACACATCGAGAGACCGTGACACACGTGCACGTGTTCGAATGTTCGATTCGTTTTACACTTGTCACGGTCGATCTGCGTGCCTGTTGCTTGTCGCTTAATTGTTACTAATGGAATTAGCGCTGGGTGTTCCGACGACAAGCACTGTAAAATATTAAACGACGCACGCGACGAGTTGATTCGAGCAAATTTTATTTCAAGCTTTCCGATACCTCTGCCAGGACTTTTTCAAATCACAGGCAATTGAATTTTATGCGTTAATTAATTAGAATAATTTTATTCGATGAATATACTTGGTTTACTAATTTTTAGTTGAAACACATAAATAGAATAATACGTTTGGAGGGTGAATTATATACTACGATTAACAACTTAACAACTATTTTGTACGTACGGTTGTAATTTTTAATATATGTAAATAGAGAGACAATAATTAATTAGATAATATATATACATATTATATAGATATTATGGAATTAATTTTCTATTTATATATACAGGGTGTCCCAAAAGTCTGAAAATTGTGTACAGTGTTGTTTTACCTATTCAGTCGATTATCTATTCTCAAAGACACGAGTCTCCGAAGTATATTAGGCTAATATATAGGGTGTCCCAAAAGTCGGGGAGGAGCCGGAAATGGGGAGTAGCTGAGACGATTCTGAACAACAATTTCCTTTGCAAAAATGTC